CGAGCCAGTCTTCCCCTCCACCACAGGCACTGCCAATATGGGCTAAGGCCATGGCAAACATTAGGGGGTCCAGACCCACCAGACCCCAGGATCAGGCAGACAGCCCTCACACCGTGGTGTCTGCCTATCTTGCCGAGCCTGTGGAGCCCCTGGACTGCGACCCCTTGGCCTACTGGGCAACCTGCAGCCCAGTGTGGCCGGATCTGGCCACAGTTGCCTGGGAATACCTGTCCTGTCCACTGACCAGTGTGCCAAGCAAGAGGGTGTTCAGCATGGCTGCTGATGTTGTGACACCCCACTGGCCCTGCTTGGATCCTGGTTTGGGGGAGCAGCTGGTGTTCCTCAAGGTGAACCTCCTGCTGCTGGGGCTCCCCAAGCGCCAGGTGCAGATGGAGTGAATGCCAGCCTCCTCGTTCCATCTGGATCACAAGTTTCGTCTGTCAGTAGCCTAAGGTGCAGTTTCCCCCAAACCCCTGCACCTACCACTGTGAAAGTTGGCAGGCTTTGTGGGCTCCTCAGGAGCTAGCATGTCTGCAATTTTGAGCTCCCTGTGGCTTTGCACATAGAAGTTACAGGTGGTTTGCTCTCAAGAATTTGGGGTGCAGTTTCTCTGCACCCCCTGAACCTATCTTGTTGAAAGTTGCCACACTTTGTGGGCTCCTCAGGAGCTACCATTCCTGCAAGTTTCATCAAGATCAGGCAAGAAATGCCAAAGTTATAGCCAGCTTCGACTTTCCCCATTATAGCCTATGGGGAAGTCAAAGCAGCTCGAATATTCGACTGAGCTTTGACCTCAAGTCAAAGTGGGTCCGCTTCGACTCAAAGTGGATGGCAAATTGAAGCCAGACCCAGTTTAATATTCGACATGGCTGTCAAATCGAATATTACCTGCTTTGCACAGCCCTAGTAAACGTCTCATGTAGATGCACCCTGGGAATCTTGTGTTTTAAAGCAAAGAGAAATGGTGCTCTGAGCTTTTTTATTTCTCCCTCTGGTGTTTAGTAATTGAAGATCTATCTGCTAGCTAAAGTCAGAAATAAACTGCGAGTGGTTTGAATAGTTTGTTTTACAGCTATAAATGTACCAGACACCTGAGCATTATAAATAAGGGCAAAAGTACATGCATTTTTCATTATGGGCCATATTATGGCATAGCCTCTCTGAGTGTTCTGGGCTGTAAAAGGGAGAAGAGACCCCCTAACCTTGTGTGACTAGCCTGGAGTCCTGGGGTTCAGGCATAGAGGAATAAGAAGCTCTGTGCATCGTTACTTCCCCATTCCATAGGAGAATGAAAAGTAAGAAGCAGAGATCTTTTTTCAGCTACCTGACTCAGCTAGTGGAGCAGAGCTGGCACAAGAGGCAATAACCTGCACACAGAGAGAGCTTGTACAATCCCCAAATGTGACAGGGTTCCTGCCTTAGAGCCACCCTTTGGTTCCTTTGACGCTCTTGAGGTGATCAGCTAAAAAAGTTACCCCTTCTGAAGTACAGGCTGCAAAACCTGGTCTGATTCTTAACCCCTCCTTACATTCTCTTTTACACTTCCAATTAATAAGCTCTTATTCAGTATAATGAAATCTCTCCGGCTGATTTCTTGCAAGCAATAGTCATTTCTTTCTCCGATTGGGTTCTGGTAGATGAGTGTGTACCAGTATCTTCAACTATCAGACCAGCTAGGTAATCCTAATGATAACAGAAAGGGGAGGCTAGAATAACTGAGTTCTAATCCTGGATCAGTCACTACATGGTTTTGTATCAGGCACTTAACTCTCCACTCCAAATTTAGCTCTGGTGAAAGCAGAAAAAATTCAATTAACTTCAATGGAATTACTGCTTACTCCAGAATCATAGTTGATCTTATACACCTCACTTCCCCCTCTGTATAACAATCGTTCCTAACTCATACTGGAGAGAAGCAACTATACAGCATTATGGTTGTTTATTATAATAAGACTTCACACTTACAACACTGCACCAATCAACTATTTTTATTACGTGTGTTTTACCTTGGCTGCTGCTTTTTTCATCAGTTCTAAAGCAAGTTTTGTGTTCTTTTTCACACCTTGGCCCTAAATGATAAACATAATTAAATAATACGATACATAATTAAATAATATAAAACATAATTAAATAATTAAAGGATCTACAATATACTCTATTCAAAATTTACACCTACAAATTCAAAAAGTAGTTTTAAGACTTAGATGCTATAGCTTACAAATCATTTTTCAACCTTATAAAAGCAAAGTAAAAAAAGCTGTGTGTATGGCTTTCTAATTTAATATCCTATATTAAGAGAAGCTTAATAACTCACTCATGGAATACCTTTTGTGCATTGTCGAATTACAATGGCAATTTTGCACGGCTGTCTTAATGTGATAGCACAATACAGAACTTTTCTTTTATTAAAATATCAGATTGGGTAAAAGGAACGTCCTTGGGATTTACTATTTGTCAGGTGTGTTACTGCTATTCTTCTATTGCTATAAAACACACTCCTTTCCAAGTTCCCTTAAAACCTAGAACTTTCTTTGTGCATAGGCACATAACCCATCTCAAAGAATAAAGTTTGGGTCTGTTTCATATCCATAACTACAGTACTACCCTTGTTCATGAAAAAAATCTTCTTTGTCAGTGAAGTCTCACCTGCACAATGGTGCCATCTATTGCATGGGTATGACAACATTAAAATGTCCCAACAGGACAATTATGTTAGGGCTGGGTATCCGACTGGTCCAATGAAGTTGGCTCAATTGACTGGTCAAACATTGGTCAAAAATTGTAAAAAATTCCCAGTAGGTCCAAATAATACAAGAGTATCATCATACTATGCATGCATAATATATTAATACAGAAAACATACAAACTTCTCTCAATAATCTAAACTCTGAAGTACATTGATCCAATTCTACCAGTTCTGAAATGAAAATATGAAGCAGGACCTACCTTGAATAACACAATGGCATAATCATATATTAATACTGGGTCCTCAGTTTCCAGTGCACCTTTTCGATACCACTCTATTGCTGCTTTGGGATTTTTTGCCACTCCTTGCTGGCCCCAGAAAAGCATCTGTGCCACTCTTTGCTAAAACAAAACAATACAACCGCCAACTTAATTCACATTAACCGTAAATGTAGTACAAGGGCAGATATTAGGAATTGCACAGGCATTAGAGGTGTCAGGAAGGGAGTGAAAGGTCTGAGTTTGAGGTGCAAAGGTGAAAGCATTACCATCAAGTTTAAAATGTATTTTTAATCACAAAGAAAAGCAAAACAGGAATTCTGTGTGCTGTGCTGCAGCCCATACCTGTGCCACTGCATTTCCTCTTACTGCTTCATATTTTAACCACATGAAGATATCACCAGTTTCTTTGGTTTGAGATTTTAGTAGTTCATCATCCGTTAGCCTAACAGTTTCTACAAGTGCCTGAAAAGAGGGTGAAAAAAGACACAAACAGCAAACTGATCAACATGCTCTTCAAGTGAATACATTGCATGTTTCCTGTTTATGTTGAACATTCTGATAGTCTCTTTATTGGCCAGTTCATTAGGAAACCTCTTTAGCCATTTTAAAACCATTTGCCATTTCTTCATGGCACTGTCAGGCAGACTGCCATAGATGCCACGGCCCTATGTCTATTAGATGTATTTTTTTTAAACTCCCTTCTATTGCTACTTTCTGGGTGCTTCTACATTAAATGTTTACTGCAGAGTAGACTAATTAGCTCTACAGTAAATGTTTTGTGTCTACACGTGAGGCCCCATTAGACCGCAGAGAACTAATTAACTCTGCAGCGGGGTAGTACGTGTAAATCCTGTCCTTGTACTTGTAAAATACTACCCTGCTATGGAGTTTTTTACTCCACAGCACTGCAAGTGTAAATGTTGATGTGACTAGCTGGGGCACAAGTGTGCTTTAGTGAAGGGGCTGCCTGCCAGCTTGCCCCGCGCTGGAGTACTCTTGTGCCCCAGTCAGCCCCTCTACAGCATGTTAAGCCAGGTTGGAGTGGCCCCAGGCTGGCAGGCTCACTCCCCGGGCTCCCTGCCAGTCAGGGCTGCTCCGATCTGGCTCAATCTGTTGTGGACCCAGGCACACATGTAAATGCAGCACCTAGAAGCAGTAAACTCTGGTGCAATAAGCACAGAAGTTTATTGCTTTGCCTTAATGGCACATGTAGACATGCCCCCTGTGTAGTTCCCATGGTGGTAGCAGAAGTAGAAGCATTAGTGCAGATGATGAACTGACTGCTGCTGGAATTTTAATGACTCAACTGTCCAGACCTTCTCTGTATGGATTAAAATGATATGGTTAAAGTTTTAAAGTTCTCTCCTTTGTTAATATACAGATAATTGTAAAGAAGGGACACTACAGAAATAAAAACTAGTAGAGATGCCTGCAGACACACAAGACATCAAACCAGGATGAGTTTCTTTCAAACAGTCAAGCAATACATAATATGCCAGGAGTGAAATTCACAGACCCAAGTTATACGAGGGGCAAGGGTTTTGGGGGGTGATATCTTTTACTGGATCACTTGTGTGGTTCCCTATGTAGTGAACAGGCAGAGTCAGGTGCCTACAAAAGGACTCACAGCACCCACTATGCTAAGTGGGGTGACACCTAAGCTAGCCAATAGGAAACTCCAAGTGTTTATTAAAACCTGCTTCTCTTCAGGACTTGGATGCTCCCGTGTAGGCACAGCTGCAAGAGAGATTCACTACCTGAACCTAATTCCTGGCATCTAAGTTGTTCCTTGGAATATGGGTGACTAGCTGGCTCTTTTTTGTCTTTAGAAATGGGCCCAAATGAGAGAGAGAGATTGGGTCAGGGGAGCCAGACATGTGCGAGAGAGCTCTGTTCCAGTTAGAGTGAGGATGAGCTGACTGGGAGCCTAATGATGAGCACGGTGGAGCAAGGTACTGAAAGCCAAACTCTAGGTATCCAAATACAGGCTCTCAAATCTTTTTTTGACATCAAGAAATGGCAGGCAAAAGAGAAGGAGAGATAAGGGAAACCAGAGTAGGAGAATGGGCATAAGGCTCTAGGAAGCACTGCAGCCATCCCTGGAGATGAAGCCCATTACAGTTACAAGATCTGTCTCCTCAGTGGAATTAGGCTCACAGATACCTATTTTGTGACTCAAAGCAGTTTAGGCAGGAGGTAGGAATCAGATGCTCAGCTCTGCCAAGGTGGTGGCAGCTCTGGACATAAGCAGGAGCAGAATTTTTGGCATGTAAATAAATTTACTGGTGAAAAGTCTGGCATCTATAGTCACTCAGGCATCCAAGGTGAGTTGTGGATTGCTCCATTGGGCATTGCTGCTTAAATTTTGTCAAAGTTGCATTTTAGGTTCTTACAATTTTTTTGGATCTGGCCCTTAACTTTTCTGTAACTTGGTTTTCCCCTTCTGTGAAATGAGATAGTAATAGCTATGTTGTGTGGGGTTGTTACAAACACTAATTAGAGTGTTTGTAAAATACCTGGATGATAAAAAGTTCTGTTTAAATTATTGATTTATTTAACATATACGGTTTCAGCATATTGTTTCAGACACCTTTAATTATGAATATTAAATGATGAATATTATTAAAACATTAAAAACTACTAACATGGATGTCACGGGGCGTGCCCCGTTCCTAAGTAGGAATTAGGGCATCTGCTAATTGCCAGGGCAGCTCAGGTGCTGGTTGCCGGGGCAACCAGAGCAGGTCACGTGGCTAAAAGGGGGCAGGGCCTGGCCTTTATAAGCAGGCCAGGCCACAGCCTAGTGGGCAGTTCCCTTCTGGCAGCCTAAGGAGAAGCAGCTCTGCAAGGGCAGGGCAGGGCAGGGCAGGGCAGGGCAGGGCAGGGCAGGGCAGGGCAGGGCAGGGCAGGGCAGGGCAGGGCAGGGCAGGGCGTTAAGCATGCGGACGCCGGGTGGAGAGAACCCTGGCAGGGGTACGGAGGTTAGCCAGGTTGGCGGGGAACCTAAGCTGTAGCCAAGGGGTTTTGTGTT